CACACCCACACAACGGCACACACATGGGAAAGGTAACACGGTGTCCATCAATTCTTCACTTCACTTTCATTTGAATTTTCGCAGGAGACTTAATTTTCCTTGGAGCCTCGCCATAGTTGGTGGGTGTTTTTGGGGCACATTTTGCAGTGAATTTATTTATACTTTTATTTTGGGGGCCTGTTAATTTGCCTGCCTCGCCATGTGAAAGTTAGCTGCATGCCGCAAATTGCACAGACGTGCGAATGTTTGGTCTATGAAGGGGTTATCCGTCTGTGGTCACCTGTCCCTCGGCTCCACATTCATATTTCATGGCTCTCCTTGGGAGCCCCGAGGCAGGACAATGAGTCTTCGGTCCATTCGCAGTCCATAAATCCAGCAAATGAGGCAGTCCATCTTGTTTTTTGGCTTTGGCCAAGCGTCGCGATTTTGCTTTGGATAGTGCTAAGCCGAGATAATGGCCAGCTTTCAGTGCTTGTCTGGTTCGATTTAGTTGAAAAGTAAATTGAAAATTGCTGTCGGGCTTTAATGGGTGGCGGGGGAGAAAGGAAACTAGAAGATTGCTTGAGTGGGAGAGCCAAAAAGGGCATTGAAACTCATTACAGAATTTAGAATAAAGTGGTTCGATTGATCTTAAATCTCTTCATTTAATTCACTTTGCTGCAAACGGATGGAATGGAGAATTGAGTTGGTTCAAAACAGTTACAAATTGGTAATCTTTGAAGAAATATTAATAAAAATTATCGATATTTTGGTAATATCGATTCGATAACATCGATGTTTTGATAGGAAAATACTAAATAAATATCGATACTATCATATTTATTTCAAGTGATTACCAAATTAAGATATATTATTTACCAGTATTAAATGAATAAATAGCAGTGATGGAACTTGAAAATTTATTTACCAATAGATAAGCTAATAAACATATTTTATAACTACTACCTTACCAGTTGCAATGTTTCCAACCTTTTAACTTCATCAACGTGGTTTTCCAACTCCAGACTGGCTGGTTCCATAATTTTCCCAAGTTACCCAAGGCGAGCATAAATCTCCCCATGGGTCCAAGAGCCCAACCCAACCCAAAACCGAAGCAGTAAACCTCCACTTAACCTCCATTTCCCATTCCCATTCGCAGACCCCACAGAAACATGAGCATAAATGGAGATTTTGCTAAACATTTGCAAAACTTATTAAGACTGACAAATGTTGACAATTGACGAATTGACGCGCGGGGCGATCGGAAGGGTAGGGAAATCTGTCAGTGGTTCAACAAGCGGTTTTGGCCCGGTCTTGTCGCTTGTTTTTCTCTCTTTATGCGGTTTCCCCCTTTCCCTCTCTGAAAATTGGTTTGGCTGCCATTTCGGTGACATTAATTTACAGTTTGCCAATTGCGATGTAGAAAAAAAGGAGAACAACGGGGCAAAACTCATTAAAGAAACACTCTGGAGATAAGCAAGGGAACCTAAATAAAAACCAGCACTCGCAAAGAACTTACCAAGCTGAGAGGCAAACAATTTATTACCAATTTTTCGGGAGTTTTTGTTTGCTCGGAAATTGCTTCTCAAACATAAGGTACGAACAAAAAATAAATGAGAAATTAAATTCGCATGTAATACGAGATCTGGGGATCTCACAACCCAGAGATCAATTGGCACAATCAGATGCGATCATAAATTAGCAGGGAAATAATATTTTTATTGGTCCATGCAAGAAATGAAAGTTGAACGGGAAATGGGGAGTATTAAAACCGATGTTTAACATACTCTTTTGGTTAGGAAGATTTAAAATTTTATGACTTTGTCTTTCTCTAACGGCTTTAGGTTTCTGATTTGTGATTTTCCAATTCTTTAAAATATTTTAAAGTAAATTAAATGGAAAGTTATAAAATAAAATGCATGGAAAATAAAAAAGTATTACTACCTTTTTAAGGGTATTCAAAGTTCCCAGAAGAATCGTTCATTCCATTCATTCACTGGTAGCTCTTCCTGATCAACAAAAGGGAAGAGAAGATAAGCCTTCTTCGCACGCACAGTCCTGCAAAAAGGCGAGCATTATGCAATGATCCTCTGCCTCTGGTCACTCTGCATTCCCCACCTCCTACTACTTTTTTCTCTGCATTTTTCTGACCACTGGAGGAAATGAGGTGAATGCCTTCTTAGCAGGCGACAAGCAAAAACAAAAACCAACAAACTGAGAAATTGAGAAGAGGAAGCAGACGGCCCAAAGTCCATAAGCCAAGCGAAATCGATATTTTTCAGGGACGCCGCCCGCAATCCCCCTCCTCTCGCTAAAAAACCCCCCACTCCTCCGCAATTTCCTTGCATTTTTATGCTCTTTCCTTCCTTCGTTTTTAAATGCACTTAAAAAATTTACTTAAAATGCATTTGAATAATTTAATTCACAAAAATTAATAAAATAATGTATCTTGAATGAGGTTTAATAAAAAACTATATAAACCGATATAAATAAAATACCCCTTAACTGTATTGTTACCGTAACAAAATAAAATTCGCATTATTATTGTGTTAAATTAAAATATTAATATATTACAAAATCGATAAATATTGAATAGCAAAAATAAATTAAATATCTAAAAAGGTATTAAATCAAATCATTCTTTTTTTAAATTTTTATTTCAGTGTATTTCTTGTTGTTTTCAATGCGGTTTTAGCAATTTCGTGCTCATTCAGAGGGGATGACGTCCCAGAGGGGTGGAGTGGGTGGATGAGGGGCAGGAACAGTCCAACAATCCGGGGTATGACTAGTTTCCAACTGGGTGGTGACTCACCCACAGAACACTTACCACCAGCTTGCAGTTCTCTTTGCACTCGTATCTGCACAGAAATGTATCTGTATCTGTACTCGAGTGTGTGGTGCATTTAGTTTTATTTCGTATCTTGTGGTTTCGGTGGTGCTGACACACGTGAAGCCACATCAATCCATCAGCCGACTTTTGCACTTAAACGTGTCGCTTTGGTTTGCCCCATTCTTTGTGTAGAATGGTATGGATACGTTAAAGAACGGGAAATATTTAATTGCTAGATTTTCGATTTATTTTTAAATGTTTTTAATTTTAATAACACTAAAAATATATTTAAAAGCCTTCAAAATTTTTAATTATTTATTTCCTGTTAAGAATTTGTGCAAAATAAGAACTATTTGAATAAATCCCAGATTAGCACTTAACGAAAAACCATTAAATATTTTACTACACCATTTTCCACCCATTTTAAATTCCTTTTAAATTCCTAACCATCCATCGAGCCCACTTTAGAACCAACCCAAAGTTACTTTCACATTCGCAGTCTCTTCTGTCCCCATCGTAATTTCTTGAGGCGGCTCAAGAACCATAAACCTGCTCCAAAGTTATCGCCTCATCTTTAACTCGTTCCTGGACTTTTCCTCTTTCCCAAAGCCATTAACTTGGTGGAGTTCTCTGTGTGTTTCCTCCCTGGAGGCGATACGATACTCAATTACTTGGCACTTGTCACAGAATCCAGATGGTTTTAGCCTGGATAATGACGATCACTTAGCACATGATCCATTCCATATAGTTAGTTGGTTGGTTAGACTGCTAAAGTCCGGAGTCATCGCGACCGGCAACCGATGATTAGCAGTCAGGGCATAAATTCTAAGCTTTATCTCGCAGATTGCGTAACGGTTTTCTTTGAGGTTTTCCCAGCTTTTTTTCGAGAGTCAGAGAGTGTGTGAGCCATAAATGGCAAGCACTAATTGCTTGGACCGCTCATAAAAATGTGGAAATGTTGCAAGAGCTCTCTGGGGCGGCAGCAGTGTATTATCGTTAAAACAAATGTTCGGTTTTTTGTATCTGTCTCCGGGCGAATGCAAATATATAGGTTTTAGTTTTACCGAAAAAAAAAAAACAGAGGGGAAAGCCAATCGATCCATCGATCGATCGTTCATCGAAATCATCGGTCAGGCCCTTAGCCTCGGGCCCAACACTTGTTTTCTGCTTCTTTTTTCGTCTTTTGGGAAAGCATCGATTCGATTGCATAAGTAGGACAACAGGGCGGGGTCCTCGATTGGGAATTTTGGGTTACCAAAACAGAAGAAACAGGAAAACGGAGAAAAAATGCCTGAGAAGGAAGTAATTTATGTGAAGAACTTTTAGTTATTTTTCGGTGACCTATTTTAGCTTTTTGTGTGTGTGTTTTGGGTGGAAATAACAAATTCCCCATTTAAAATGTCACAAAAATGTCACACGAATCTGTGGCGCCCAAAATGTGTGAACAAATGTGTTTAATGTGCCACGCCCCCCGTCGGGCTAACCCGCCCCTTGATCTCGCCCAGAAAATGCAATTAAATTCTTCAAAAGTTGGAAGTGGCCTCAAGTTGCAGTGGTTTCGCTTTTGGCCTCGTTTTAGGTGTGGATTTTTGTGTGGGGATTTTTTGGGAGGAAAGGGAGTTGAGATGGCGAATTCCTAGAGGAATTCAGGTTTATTTATAGGTCGTGTGGGTCTGTTAGAGTTGTTAATTAGTCGATTTAGAAAATATTTGGGTCGAAAAAGTATTTTTATGTTCGAAATACCCAAACTGTCAAGATAAATCTTCAAGATTTAAACTAATATTTTAAAACTTCAATGAATTTCTTAAATATTATACTAAATACATATTTTTTTTATTTACAGGTAAGTTGAAGCTGAACAATATTCGATGGATTGGAAATGACGTAAGAAAATCACTTTGAACTTCCTCTGTTAAATCGTCGAGTTATCTATTTCCTAAACGATTTCCCCCGCAACCAAAGAAATGTTTTCCCTTTGCATTTCCCAAGTTTTTTTTAGATGGAAGCGCAGGCGGATTAGAGAGCGGCTAATTATGCACACGTAGGCCGGATATGGACAAAGTAATCCGTATGCTAATCATTCGCTATGCTAATCAGGCTTGATCCCATCTTTGGAGTGTAGGAAGTATTACTTAACCAAATTGTTTCGAGAGATGAGGATGCATATCAAATTGAGTCAAGTTAAAATTGGTTTGTTGCACTTGAAATGTATTTCTTGATAATCCTAAATGGGTAACTGCAAAAATATTCGTTTCTATATTATACGATAAAAAACGGATCTAGTTTTCTTTAACTTATTCGAAGATCTCTTGAGATGTGGGGGTATTTGAAAAGGATCCGGGGGCAGTCGTAAACATCGACGATGCAGTGCCATCATGGCCAAATCCTTGTACCCTTGCTTTCGCTCCCTGTCCATTTTTCTCCACAAATCTCTGGCCACTCGCTGAAGACGCACCAGGTCCTTGAAGCCCAGTCTTCGATTCGTCAGCTGTTCTTCTGGCTGCAAGCCAAGTCTTCTTCTCTCCTGCGAGAGTACAAGTTGGTAATATCCCTCGTACATCTCACGCACGAAATTCTGGAAGGCTGATGTTTCCGCCTCCATAACTATTTTACGATTTTTTTGATGTTCCAAAGTGCTGGGCGAAAAGGTCACATGGCGACTTATAGAAGGCACAAGATATCGGGCACGTCGTGGCATTATCCTCTCACTTCGCAGACTCAGATGGGTCAGGACACTCAGTTGGCTTGAGGGAACACCCAGGACTATATTATCTTCAGATCTCTGAGGTGGATCTGTGAGGGAGTCCAGAACTCGCCAAAGATTTCTCCACATGTGCGGCATTTTCGACTAGGGGACAGGATGAAGGGAACAGCATGGCCTGCTGCTCCAAAGTTGCCCCCCACAACCAAAAATAAAATAAGGAAATATATGTTTGCCAGTAGGAAAATAAATACGGCAATTTAAAAGCCCATAACCCGCAGAATAACTATAGGATATATCAAGTGACAGTTGATGTATTTCTACAAAGATTAATTGCCTACGAACTCATTGCTTTGGTCATATATTTCGGTTTAAGCTTAACTACGAACTACTGGCTTAAACTTCCATAAAATTCAAAGAAACCCATAAATTAAAAGTAATTTAAAACAAATTTATAAAAAAAAATTTTTAAATTTAAAGCAATTTATGGTAAAAAAAAGTTTTTTAACTTGTTCATTTTATTAACATACTGTTTTTATTCACAATTGTTTTTAATAAATAATTTTTTTTAATGTTATTTTGTAATTAATTAATTATTTAAAAATATATTTATTAATAGTTTTTTTTGGAACCCAATTCTTAAACCCAATAAGACCCAAAGTTTTATTGAAACTGAGTTAAATTTTTTTTATATTTTTTTTTCATTCAACTTTTGCTTGCTTCCGAACACAACATCTGTTTTTGTTTTTATGAAACTGCCACCTCCGGCTCCTTCAACCGCCTCCGCCCTTGTCCAATCCCGAGTTGTTCTTCATCGCGATGACGCACTCCTCGCCACAGGCAGCCAGCACAGTGCAGAGAAGATCCTTGCCATCGTCGAATTCGGAGCGCAGAGCTCCGCCCAGCTCCCCATCGGGAACCTTGAGATCCTCGCGTATCTCGCCATTGTCTCCCATGAGGGTGACGAAACCATCGTCGCTGATATCCGTCAGCTGGTAATCCTCGCGCTTCACATGCGGCACATCCATGTTGTGGGTCGAGGGACAAATGTCCTCGTACTTCTTCTGGGTGAAGATATCCACGCCCACCAAATGCACTTTGGCATGCCCGTGCTTTCCCGTCTTCGAGGTGGACATGTCCACAATCTTGCAGGGACGTCCCTTCAGCATGACAAATCCATTCTTTCGCAGGGCCGAACATTGCATGGGAAATGTTTTCGAGGCCCCCGAGTCCACCGTATCAAACTGGACATCATCGTCATCGTCCGCCATCTTTTTTATGTTTTTACTTTTGCGAATAGGGTTTCTAGAGATTTTCTTTTTGTACTCGCTTTTTTGAAAAAAGAGAAAAATATAAAAATAATTCGACTTTCCCGTTTGCTTGTTTGTATGTAACTGAACTCAAAGCTAAATCTGGCTTACACACATCAAACTTTAAAATGACAGGAAATTCTGGGGTATCTTAGTTTGTCATGATCATGATCAGTTATATTAAATTTATAAAAATTTTCCAAACATACATTTTCTGTATTTGTGATAATTAAAAAGATCTAATAACCCCTTATTTTTCTAAAATCCTAAAAAATTTTAAAAATCTTTTGAGATCGTGATCATTCTTTCCTGATGTTCATGTTGCAACATTCTTTACAAATTCCTCAGCTGAACCCCATTTAAACAGGCTGATCTCGACAATTTATCAAACTGTAAATCCCATCAAAATGTAATCCCCTGAATCATATTAATTAGAGATCATTAAGGTTGTTTCGCTCTCTTTCTACGGGGCGTGTCAGGGTCAGTTATGAAATCGCCTCGAATCGTTTATCAAAGTCGGTGGGTCATATTCCAGTTGGGCTCTCGGATGATAGAGAGGTGTGGTCCGTGTGGATAGTTCGTTGACCCACTGAGCTGGGAACTGGAGGTAGAGCCACACCACCAGACGAAACCAGACAGTCTGAGGTGGGCCACCTGAACAAATTCAACGCTATTTGCAAATCGAACAAATTTCCCGCTTTTCCTCGACTGTCACTACCCATTTGCATTTTCACTAATTTCTTGCCGGGTTTTGCAATTGGCTTGTATACCCTTTTTCAAGGGTTGTTTATAGAAAATATGTTTAATTAAATTATTTAAATAAATATTTTAATAGTTTCAAATGGTATAAAAAATGATACTATGTAAATGATGTAAAAACACAAGTGATTAATATAATTAATTAATTAGTATATGAATGTAGAACAAAAAAATCAAATAAAAATTGAGTTCATTATTTTTGTATCAATAACACAAATTTATCGAGGTATCCAGATCTTCGGTGGTATAGCCATGTCTTCCAGTCCTCTCTATATTTATTTTGTGGCGTCGCCTAGGCGGCGGAGGATTCTGCTTCTTGTCCGGAGATCAACTCCTCCTCCTCGCACCCTCTGTGTAATTTTTTTATTTTAGCTGCCTGTGCGGATCATTTTGAATTGACAGCAGCTCGTTTTGCTTCCTTGTTTGCCAATTGCATTGGCAAACGACTTGAAAGCATTTGCATTGGAGGAGGTTTATTGAAAGAGAGGAGGATAGGCAGACACTCACTCACTCACTCACTCACTCACTCACTCACTCACTCACTCAATCATGCATTCATTCAGTCAGTCGCTCATTCAATCATTTCGCCTCAATCGCCTCCTCCTCCCTGCCTTCCAGCCATTCAAATTTTGTAACTGTTTTGTCTGCCAATTTGACATTTCTGCCAGCTTTTCAAGTCCCCCGAAAAATCCCCTTAACCCCCTTTTGTAGGTGTGTTTTTTTTTTTTTTGCCAGCTTGTTTTCCTGTGCGTGGTTTGCAGCCCCCTTTTCCTCGGGAAAACACGCTGTCATGTCTTTGGGTTAAATGCAATAAATTTGCTAATACAATTTAATATGATTTTTCGAGTGGAGTTTGTGTTTTGGGATTGGGATTGAGAAGCGGGATTGAGGGCACTCCCTGAATTTAATTGGAACCCTGGGAACCTATTTGCAAACTGCTGTGCATGATGTCAGAACTTTGAGTTTGTCGTGTTCAATTCGAAAAAACCAAGCAAATTGAAAATTGGACAAATAAAAAGAAACATTTGTGATATGTTGACAGCTCACAATTCCGCGTAATTAAGGCAAAAGAGGGCGAAATAAGGGGGAACAAACAAGATTATCAAAGCCCGCATATTGTATATATATCGTGTTGAAGTTGGGAGTACAGTTCTTGAAACATTATGCATGTTGTCTCGGATAAGAAACGGGTGCGTTTATTTATAGGAATTGCTCAAAAGATTAATGGGGAATTTATCAAAGAAGTTCAAAGAAACTGGTTTCGGTTGTTTTCAAATGTTGATGACTAATAAAAAGTATATAAAAATTGTTGTATAAGCCTTTAAAATGAGTAATTTAGTTGTATAATAAATTTTTTATTAGTTGATAAGTTTTTGGAAAAATATTGTTTGTAAATGGGTTTTTTATTGGTTTTGCGGGCTTAATGGATTTTACACTTAAAGCTTGAATACTCATAAAGAAATATGTATGACAATTTGTATAATGTAAAGTAATAGATCTATTGAATAATTTTCCGATTTAATTTTAATTATATGGGGAACTCACCGACCTTATTTAAACAGAAGCAATTGTTTTCTCATATTAACAAACAATACATCTAAAAAATTAATGCATTTTTGTGCAATGTTCCCTCATTCCCATAACTGCTTATGCACAAACACACCCCTGCATTACCCCGCCCACTTTTCCAACTCCCCCTTTTTCCTGGGCGCAAAATGCGTGCTGTGTTGTTGGTAACATCCAAACAACATAAGGAAGAAACTGCAAACCAATTCAGGCCACTCCCTCGTTTTTCTTTTGCTGCTTAGCCAACTGACATAATTCCCAAGGAAAATGTTAAATGCATTAAAAACAACAGTTATGTCTCAATTAGGCGCAAACCAGTTTACAATAATAATAGCGAAAACAGTATCAACATCCCAAAGAAAGCTGGAATTAAACTCTAAGAAGCAGCCAAACAAATTCATTATAAAAACAAAAGACGAGTGGCAGGCAGCAAAAACTATTTTTGCAAACAATGTGAAAATGGAAAAATTTACAAACTAAAAAAAAAAGGAAAATAGCAAATAGAAAAACCTCCACGCAATGCAGCTTTTCCTGCTTCCCATGGCCCCAAAAACAAAAAGTTGGCCAGCGTAGAAAATTGTTTTTCATATAAATTAATTTCCTTTTTGTCGGCAAAGCGGAGGCTATGGGAAAAATCCAAGGATGCAAATCAGCGGTGGGGGGCGAAGAAGAAGGTGGGCAAATTGAGTGAGCCTTTAACCTTAAGCTGCAGGGTTTTGCACTGTCCGTTTTTGGAAAATTCGTTTTTGATGGGAGGAAAAACCCACGCAGAGTTTTGCTGCTTTTTAATGGAGACATCAAGCGGTGGCTTCCCTCTCTTTTGGTTTCTTTCTTGTATATCTAACTATTTTTGTTGTGGCGCCTCAATTGCTTTTAATGGTCACTTGTGGCGCTCCTCCACTCATAGACTTTTTCCCCCTGCATTCCCCACTTTGTCAATGGCCACTGCACTTTCCGTTTGCCGACTGTCACAACTCTGTTAAATTTTTATTTATGTTTGGGCACTCCATGAGGGGTCTGTCTCTCCTCATTGAGCACTGGCACGCACGCCCCCGCTTTTCCGCCTCATGCCACCCACATTTTCCCCGCTTTCCTTCTCTTCTCGGCACGCAATTAAATGTTGCACACCAATATTGCCCCTTGGTTGATTGTCACTGAAGCGTTGAATGGTATTCATAGCTCTTTAAACCTCTTTTTTCGTATATCACTTTTATCTACTATCTATAAGGTTTTTTAAGATCATAATATTGGTAATAACAATAAAAATACATTATTAATATCGTTATTTAACTTATCCTATCTTATCTTATTAATCCCAACATCCCGTCAAAATATTTACCACCTATTTCACAAAAACCTTTTTTTAACTCGATCAATATTCGATATTCAATATGACATCCATGGGCTCCACTCAATGTCGTTCCGCTTTGGCTGTCCAATGCTCTTGGAACGCAATTAGCATTAAAAATTGAAATGTTTTCCTATGCTAGTAGTCTGTCTTGCCCAACAACTCAGTTCGTTGGTTGTCATTTGAATATTTTATTACCAAAGTCAAGCTGCATAATATCGCAGTACTATGATTTTAATGGGTTTGGCTTTGAGCCAAGCGATTCGTAATCGAAAAGATGTATTGTGAGTTTTGTTTATTATCGAGAAATCAATGAGTGAAGACACCTTGGTGGGATGTGTTTTTTAAGAACTCGTGATATGTAATGATAAGTAGAATGGAATTAAAACTTGTGAAAGTCACATAATTTAGCTTGGTAAAAACTGCACTTTTATTTTTTCAAAATTACTGGCAAGTTCCGTGGAATTCCCAGAGAACTTTCGCGTTTCAAGTACTGGGGTATAATTCAATTTTATGGCACTCTGTGCACACCCAGAACGAAATCAGCTTTCCTTCTTCTTCTGACTTCTCTGCCGATGGCAACTTGCAACCAACCTGTTCCCAAGTAAACCAAATCCATTCATTAACCTGACTTGGGTTACCTCCTCCCTCCCGAAAACGCATTTATCTCTTACCTGTCTGTCTGCCCACAAGTTCGAAAAAAACACTCCACTACACTTGACTTAACTTCGCGGCACGCACTTCCCCATCGCAGATAGCAGAAAAAAACCAAAAAATAAGAGCCACACCACAGGTAATAAAACCGACTTTCCAATTGACCCAGTTAACACCATGCAGGCTTACTTAATCCGTTGCGCTAAATGGAACGCAAAAGGGTTCACTTGGGAACCCTTTCGACATTATAAATAATCGCTGCGCTAAAAGATTGGTAGGAAATAAAGTCTGGACTGACAATTAATTAGAGAGACACGTGAGACAAATGAATTTTGATATGTTTAGTTTATCATAGCCGCAGATCGCGAAGATGGAGCGAAAAAGATTCGTTGCATCATTAGCACTTCCAGTTTTTGGAATCTCTCTCTGAATAAATTGTGTGAGGTAACTGGAATAATAAAGATAACTGTCTAGAAAAGATAAAATAAATTAAAAGAGTAGATAGAATTTGTAGATTTATAGTTATGAAGTGTATACTAAGTAATTAAAGAGATGAACTGAAAAAAAAAAAAAAAAAAAAAAAAAAAAAAGAGGAAATACAGTAGGGAATATGATGAATAAACCGCCAAATCTTAAAATGTAGATATAAATCCCAGAATTATAGTAAAGAAATATTTACAAATATCAAACATCTTAATAATATCCCACCAATATCACAGTCATTTCCTCAACACCAAATGGAGTCATAAACTTATCGAATCGTATCATACCGCACCT